TCCATCTATCATTTAACTATTATATATCATTTATCTATCAACTATATATCTATCATTTATCTTTCAACGATCAATTATCTATCTTGCATCTGTATATGCTTTATCAATCTATCATCTATATATAATCTATCCATTATCTATATATCTTTTCTATCTATCATCTATCTATCTATCCATCAACTATATACAGGTGAAACTCGAATAATTAGAATATTGTGCAAAGTTCATTTATTTCACTAATGCAACTTAAAAGGTGAAACTAATATATGAGATAGACTCATTACATGCAAAGCAAGATAATTCAAGCCGTGATTTGGCATAATTGTGATGATTATGGCTTACAGCTCATGAAAACCCCAAATCCACAATCTCAAAAAAGTAGAATATTACATTCAATCAATAAAACAAGGATTGTACATAGAACAATATCAGACCTCTGAAAAGTACAAGCATGCATATGTACTCAGTACTTGGTTTGGGCCCCTTTTGCAGCAATTACTGCAATTACTTTTGCACGATATTCTAATTATTCGAGTTTCACCTGTATAATCAATCTATCATTTAAATATCATCTATCTATCTATCTATAAGTTATCTATCCATCATCTATATACATATCATATATCTATGTATTATCTATCTATACTCTTTCTTACATCTATCTTTTATCAATCTATCATCTAAATATCGTCTATCTATTGATCTATCTGTCATCTATATATCATCTATATATATATCATCATTTATCAACAATATATCATCTATATATATATCTATCATCTATCTATCATCTGTCTATAATCTATTTAACGTCTATCTTTTATCAATCTATCATCTATATCTATCAATCTATCAACAAATTAATTATCTAGCTATCATCTGTACATTATTTATTTATCATCTATATATCATCAATATATCTGTCATCTATCAAATATATATTATCTATATATATTTATCAATCATTTATATGCTATCTCTCTATCTATCTGTCTGTCTGTCTATAATATATCTAACATATATATTTTTTCTATCTATCTATCTATCTATCATCTAAATATCATCTAAATATCATCTATAAATCTATCTGTCTATCAATCCATCATCTATCAACTATCAAGTATCTATATATCATCTGTATATCATGTATTTATCATCTATATAGAATCTATATTTCTATCATGTATCTTATCTATCTATCTATCATATATATATATGTATCATATATCTACTCGTATATATATCATGTATGTATTTAATATATAAATGATAGATGATATATAATAAGTCCTCTAGAGCGTTTGGTATTATTCTGAATTGCTGTATAATGTATTGCTGGGATTTGTAGTTCTCTATTGCAGGTGCCATTCTGCATTGTTGTATAGTGTATTGCTGGGATTTAGGGGACTACAAATCCCAGCAATACATTATACAGCAATGTAGAATAATACTTTCAGCTATAGAAGACTACAAATGCCAGTAATACATTATACAGCAATGCTGTATAAGATTGGAATATGAATTTGCTACATACTCTTTGCTCTGCTCCAGGATTGGACAGGCTGCTACAAGTGATCTGGGCAGGTGCCCAGATCACTTGTACAAAACGAGCAGTGGCTCCCCCTCTCTACATTTAGCCGTGTTTGCCCTCAGTAGGGCTAAATGTAGAAAAAAAAAACTTCCGACTCCCGGAACTGCATGTTCCGGGCGTCGGGTGATAGGAGTTGCAGTATATAGCAGTAACACTACAAAATACCAGTAGGAGTTTCCAGCTGTATGACTGCTTGACAGGCAATTTCTTGTATAATATAAATAGCTTTAAAACTTTAAATGACGGTGTGAAACCTATACAGTGTTCTCCAAAATCCATTGAGACGGGTCTAATCCACACTGGTCCAACTATTCAATCCCAACTGAAACTGGATTTAGCAGCAAATAATTATAAGCAAGATGTAAGCAAAATCCAGTTGTAGAAAACTCAGGGTTTTTCATTTCTTTTCTCCCATAGCATGGTACAGTAGAACACATCTAAACTTGTATACAGATCGCAGCAAAAACCTTATCGCCCATGCTGGTATTAGGAAGCCAATTTTTCTCAGTTCATGAAAGACCAAGTATCTGGCCGTGTTTTCTGCCTGCCTCCTTTGACTTATTTGGGAAAATGTTTGTCCACCTCCCTCTGACTTATTTGACTAGGTTTTAGCCAAGCGTGTGAATAAATGCATCTTCTCCATTTTGACAGGGATCCCAATCTGAAATAAGTCACTTCAGGGAGGTGCCCTTTACATTCCAGGGAGGTGCCCTCTGTCAAACCCTCCCCCTCTGTGGGGGTGAGGGTGGTGGGTGATGTGCAACAACAAGGAAGAGAGCACCCCGCTGAAATGATGGCAGGTAGCAAAGAAGCTATCTGCTGGTTTTTTTTTAGTATTCTGACAGCGGCTGCTGCCGTCATAATATAAAAAATAGGAATGAATAGCTAGTTTGCTATTGGCTATTTCAATTTGCAATATCCAAAAGCAAGCTGGCTATTGCACCCACCCTCTGCTGCTGTCAGTCAGGAGGATCTGATGGAGAACTTCAGGTCCACCTTTGCTGATTGACAGCAGCAGCGGGCAGATGCAATAGCTAGTCTGCTATTGGCTATTGCAAATTGAAGTCGTGGAATCCTATAAACAAGAACAGAGGAAAGTATCTATAGAAAAAAAAACCCATAGAAAAGATCCGCATCCGCATAAAAACCATTGGGAGGAGAGAATATAACTCATAGGAAACTTGTAGAATGTCTAGGAGTGCGTTCTGAAGTTCCAGGCCTTCAGTTTGCAGACTGGAGAGATCGTCATTAAAGCTGAGCCAGTGAAGGAGGTGACAAATACATCCGATATGGAAACTTGATTGATGGAAGATCCAGTCTGTGCAACAAGGAGGTCTTTGATGGACCTGAAAATCACAGTTTGCCTGTAGTTGGAAAGAAAACCCCCATCTGTAAGGGATATTCCAGGCCCTGAGAGAATTAAGCAAACGATGAACCACTCTATACTTAGCAAAGGTATAGCTGGAGAGATCACTCAGCAAGGAAACTATGCAGTGCATCAAAGTCTTTGTGACCTTTAGCTTGGGCTACTCACATAACGTCTTCCTTCAACTGAAAATAATGCACTCTGCATATGACATCAAAAGGTTTGGACGGGTCCAGGTTCTTGGGGCCCAGCACTCTATGAGCCCTGTGCTTGGAATTAAAAAATACCCTGTAATGTAGGAACCAGTTCCTGCGGTCCAGCAGACTCTGGGAGACCCACCAATCTGTTATTATTACGGTTCCTAGTTTCTAGACATGTGCACTGCCAAAAAATTCGTTTAGTTTCGTTTTAAATTCGGATTTGTGTTATTTCGTTTTTCAGGATTCGGATGTGAAAGTCAATTCGGATTCGGACGAAATTCGGTAGCGTTAGTACGAACGTTCGTTTCGTTTTCTATTCTTATTCGTTTCTTATTCGTTTTGTTCGTTTGCAGCAAAAGTGACATTTGAGGGGGGAAAAATATTTTTCTCCTTCTCTAATGTCACTTTGCTCCAACGAACGAAACGAATAAGAAACGAATAAGAACAGAAAACGAAACGAACGTTCGTACTAACGCTACCGAATTTCGGAAATGGAAATTCGGATTCGTTTGCATTCGTTATGTCTGTAATTCGGAATTCGGATACATCCAAATGTCCGAATTTCCGAAAATTCGTCCGAATTTCGATTCGGAACGAAACGAATCGCACATGTCTACTAGTTTCTAATTTATCATAGCAGACACAGCATAGTCAGGATTCTCTCCATGTCCCCTCTGGTCGATCGTGATCTGATAGATAAGTGAAGATCTATTTCAGCAGCTGAGGTAGGGTCGGCTGACAGCTTCCCTAGGGAGTAAGCAGTACATCCTATATCTGGGGTCCCAGACCAGTCTCCAATAAACAATTTTCCTTGTTGCACTCCTTACCGAAAGTCCCTTGTAATGGGGGGGGGGGGGGGGGGGTGCTCGCAGTGACTGCGAATGGCGCCACAAACATCAGCAATATGTAGAAATGTAGCGCCAACGAAAAATGGTGGATAACTTGAGTGAATGTGGTTAAGACAATATACCGCAAACAATAAATGGTGTACTGAAATTGTGTTAATGCGTGAATCAATCAAACTTAATAAAAATGTGGAAATATACAACGAATGTACATTTATACATATCAAATAAATTGAAAAAGTTTTTTAAGACAAGTGCTGTGTACTTCTTTTTTCAAACACCATGGGTGCAATAAGGTGTTCCAAGTGTGGAAAGTTTATAAATTCAAAAAAAGAGTTTGTAAATTCAAAGAAACAGAAAAATGTTCCGTGATAAATGTTGGGGATGCGGGCTAATGCCGTACGTCTCCCCTCGGGGTGTGTACTCACCACAATGTAGTGGCTGTAGTAAGCAGCCTGAAACGCTTTGAAGGAAACAGATTTTCCCGGAGCGGGCCTAACTTTATGCTACACCAGACACAGGAGTTTACAGAGTATCCTGTCTGCCGATCTGAATATTTTTTTGGATTTCGTTGTCCTGCTTTTACTTGATTCAAATAAAATCCTTTTTGAAATTGCTACGCAATGAGAGGCTCTTTTCTTATATGATTTTGGAGACAAACCGTCTGCTATCTAGGGACCGTTGAGAGTTACGGCGAGGACGTCACGGCTTCGGGAAAATCTGTTTCCTTCAAAGCGTTTCAGGCTGCTTTATTTTTTAGAGAGCCAGTCATGTTTGTTTTATTTTGTTTAGTTTAAAGTACATATTTACCTTTTTAAGTGATTTGTATTTATTGTGGTAATGTACATGTGCAGTGATGATGTATACATGTGCACATTTTTCATGACTCACATTGCAGGCTTTCTTATTTTTTTAAAGAAGATTTTATTAGGCCTGAAGCCTAAAAAATTCAAAATTTTCTCCACAGGAAAATCAGTCGGACACCCGGTGTATCAGACTGTAATCAGCTGCCCCCTCCCTGTCACTCATTGTATCATGATCAGTAGACACCAGCTCTGCCTTGACCCACAATACACATGTTACATATCGCCGCGGGCGTCGCAGCGAGAGCAATAATTTTAGGGCCATCAATCACTGATAACACTGATAAACTGATGAGTGCTCAAATCTTTTAAGGCAACGCCTATGGCCAATTTTGGCTATGATAGTTTTTTGCGATTTCACGGGCGTGTGCAATTATAAGGCTTGACATGTTTGGTGCCTATTTACCCGATGTGGCCCCGCCTTTTATGTTTTACCAAAAAATTGGGTAAAAATAAATGTTTCCTAAAATAATAAAGGGAAAACCATTATTTAAAAAAAAATATTCGGTACTTTTTTGTCATATAGTAAAAAATAAAAACCCCAGTGGTGCTTAAATACCTTCAAAAGAAAGCTCTATCTGCCCCCAAAAAATTGTATAAAATTCGTTTCCTGGCACATCATGGCAGCACACAATGTGTTAACGCTCCGCCTCTTAGGACAAGCCCTCTATAAGTTTTGACCTCTGTGGCTTGGACCCCCATTCTTTTTTCTGTCCTCGCCATGCAAGCTCTCTGGATGGATCTAACTGAAAACTTTTTGCAAAAACCCTTACCTGCCGACTTTTCGGCTGTTCCATCTGGGGTTACCCTTCCCCTTGTTGAAGTCCCTGCCATCTGCCCTTAAACAGGGTATTTAATGGGAGGCCCCCGGTTCTCAGTGTTCGGGGCATCATCTGCATTCAGGGCTGCAATGCTCCCTAGGCTTGGTGCCCTGTGTTAGTCTGCTCTGCCTCCTCTCCGGCGGCACTAGCACGCTCCGTCCGCCATAGGCTTCTCTGTCATGGCAGACGGAGACACGATCTCTCCCCAGATTGCGGCCGTTGGGCTCCTGCGCGGGCGTCTGACAGCCGTACAATACATTTAAAACACGGCAGCGGCGGCAGATCTCGCTGCTGCCACATTACAGCTCAGACTGTTCGTCCACGCTACAGGTATGTCGGGAGGAGGGGGGGGGGGTTTCTTCAGGAAGCCCTGGCTCATGCATGGGATGGGTCCCTAGATGTCCTTCCCTGATGTTTAGTGCTCTCTCCCTCTCCCTCTCTCTCTCTCTCCCTCTCTCTCCCTCTCCCTCCCTAGAAGAGCTATGGCTGACACAGCTGCCACCACAAACACTGCTCCACAAAATAGGTAATGGTCAGGTAGGTGGTTTCTTCCGTAAAAATGATGAGGTGGTAACAATTTCCTTACTGTTATTGCAGCCCTCCTCATGAAGCCCACCACAGTCGGAGGCATTCCAGACGCAGATCTCGCTCTCCCAGGGGGCATAGCTCGGACGGACGCAGTCGCTCCCACTCAACTCATGGGTCTACTCATACCCACCGTTCTGCCAGGGGGTTCCCACGACACGGGTGTTGGGTCTGCGGCAAGCAAGCTCTGCCGGATAAATTGGTCTGCCAAGATTGTCTAAGTGAAGCAACACAGGGTCATGTCTCCCCTCCTAGAGACATAGCGGCCATGGTGGAACGTTCCGTGAGGGAATGCATGAAGCAGATGGCCAGGCCGGTCCCTCCAGGACCCACTATTTCGTCCCAGTCATTGGGTCTCTCTGTGGATTCCGATGCGTCGGACTACGCACATGACGCAGAGTAATGGGGTCGCTCAGCTTTCGATTTCTCTCTGGTTGATCCCTATGTCACAGCGGTCAAGGAAGCATTAAGCTGGGAGGACCCAGTTGCAGAGACATCCACAGCAAGGAAATATTTCCCGCACCTACAGAAGGTGTCTAACATGGAAGAAATAAAGGGCATCGTCCATGAGGAATGGAGGAAATTGAAGAAACCAAATCTAACCAACAGGCTAGCCAAGCTGCACCCTCTTAAAGAGGAGGATATCTCCAATCTAGTTAATCCACCTGTTGTGGACGCAGCGGTTATGCGTCTTGCATGCCATATTACGCTTCCTATGGATGACGCAGTCTCCTTTCGGGATCCCTTGGAACGGAAGATCGACCTAGATCTGAGAAAGGCATACTTGGCCGCAGGGGGCGTCCGCCGGCCGGCTATAGCGCTTACATCGGTGGCCTTCTGGATCAACAACATAGAGAAGGCACTACGGGAGAACGTGGACACGGAACAAATCCTCTCGGCCCTTCAGGAGCTAAGGTTGACGGGGGAATTTATGGCTGAAGCTGCCATTGATGTGGTTCGCAGCTCGGCTAGGGCTATGCTTCACACCGTGCACCAAGAGAGCACTTTGGCATAAACCTTGGGTGGCGGATAACTCCTCCAAGACCGCCTGGTGCAAGATACCCTTTGAGAAAAATGTATATCAAAGCGCTAAAGGTGTAACAAATAAGAAACTTAGTATAACCAAGTGATATAATGAACTTTTAGGTTTAGGGGGTCTAGCCCTAAAACAAGTGATATCTTACATAGAATCATAAAAAATATATATAAAATAAAAATAAAGTTAATAATACAATAGTGCTGTGGAAAAAACAGAAATGATTGGGACAATAAAAAATTCCAACCACTGTGTAAAGACCTCGAATAGGTCACAATATATAAACGATCCGTGCAAAAAATATATTAAAAAATTGGAATAAATTGGTCAACGAAAAATAAACGTAAAAAACGTGTACAAAGGAAATTGTTAATGATGTATATTGATGGTGGTATATATTTCGTGGCGGTGGTCCGACAGCCCCCTTGGGTGGGTACTCACCAAATGGAGTTGGATCGAAGGCTTTTAGTTAGTGACACTTGAGCCTGCAATCGTGCTTTCAAGCTTGGACCCAGTTGTTTTTACTCTCAGTCCCTGCAAGGTGAGTGTTAATAGTGACTATAGCTTTGTAATAAAGCTAAATGTTTTTGCACGCTACACTATGAGGGCTCTCTCCTTTTTTTATCTTTGAAATACTGCGGGACCACGGCAAGGAGTTTCGTTTGACACTGCGCCTGAGACGATCCAGCTTTACTTCTGGGATACAGCCAGCGCTACAAGGGTGAAAAACCAAACACTCACCTTGCAGGGACTGAGAGTAAAAACAACTGGGGATCTCGGACCAGTGTTGGACTTAAAGAGGCTCTACAGGTACATAATTGTTCCACGGTTTCGCATGGAATCGCTTCAAACCATTCTTCCACTTATAAGACCCGGGGACTGGATGTCGTCCATCGACCTGGCGGACGCCTACCTTCACGTCCCTATCCATCCCCGGTTTCAAAAGTATCTCCGTTTTTCCTTCCACGGCCTCCATTTCCAATTCTGCTGCCTCCCTTTCGAAATCAGTACAGCTCCCAGGACCTTCACCAAGGTTATCCTTCCGGTCATCGCACTTCTTCGAGAGCAGGGCCTCAGAGTGAATCACTATCTGGACGATATCATCCTTCTCGCCCAGGACAAGGAGGTGTTAATCAATCACCACCTTTCCACACTCCAATGGTTCGGGTGGCTGGTAAACTACCACAAGTCATAGCTTGACGCGGCAAAATCCATGGTCTTTCTGGGGGCTCTCTTGAACACGGCAAGGAATACCGTCTCACTCCCAGTACCCGCAGCCGCTCAATGATGTTGGAGGTGGATCCTGTCATGTGCTGTGCCCAGGCGTATTTATGGAACCTCCAAGCAGTGTATTTATCGGGACGCCAGAACACCCTGGCCGACTACCTCAGCTGCTCCGTGGTAGGGACGCACGAGTGGTCCCTCCATCAGGAAGTCTTCTTTCAAATTGTCACGAAGTGGGGCATTCCCCAGGTCGACCTTTTTGCCTCTCCAGTGAACAAAAAATGCGCGCGGTTTGTAACCCGCTTCAGATGCAAGGAGGCCCTAGCAGCAGACGCATTGACGACTCCCTGGAACTTCACCACGGGGTATGCCTATCCCCCTCTTCCCCTCATAGGGAAACTTCTTCAGAGGATATCCCGCTTTCAGGGGGTGAGCATTGCAGTGATACCTTATTGGCCGAGGAGGCCTTGGTTCCCCCTGCTTTTGCACCTCAGCCTGGAACCTCCGTTCCTCCTTCCACCGAGGGAGGACCTTCTGAGTCAAGGCCAATTCCTCCATCCTCACTCATCCGGTCTGAGGTTGGCGGCCTGGAAATTGAGAGGGACAAACTGCACACCCTAGGTTTCTCCCACTCAGTGATCAACACCTTGTTGCAGGCTAGAAAGGGTTCTACAAATTCTACCTACCAACGCATTTGGCGTAAATTCGTCCATACGGCAGCCAGGGACGGATTTGATCCATCTTCACCTTCCATCAATCATGTGCTCAGTTTCCTCCAGTCTGGGCTGGATCTAGGTCTAAGGGTCCACGTTTCAGCCCTTTCTGCGCTCACAAGCATCAGATGGTCATTTAACCCTCTAGTGAGGCAGTTTCTTAAAGCATGTCTTAAACTGAAACCTCCCAGAACATTGTCGTTTCCTCAATGGGATCTGGCAGTGGTGTGGAAGTCTCTCGCACAGTCTCCATTTCACCCGTTAACAGAGGCCTCTGTATGACACCTCACTCTTAAAGTGGCGTTTCTGGTGGCGATTACCTCAGCGAGACGTGTCTCTGAATTGCTGATGGTGGATCCTCCTTACTGTCGTTTCTTTCCAGATCACGCAGTACTGCGCCCCAACTCAACCTTTCTTCCGAAGGTCACTTCTTCATTTCATCTGAACCAAGAGATCGTTCTCCCTTCCCTAGTGGGAGAATCCGGGGAACCTCATCCGCTGGATATCACAGCCTCACTGAGGCACTATATCGAGATCACACGCGGCTTTAGGGTTGCTCGGAATCTCTTCATTCTCCCTGGAGGCGCTAGGAGAGGCCAGGCAGCCACCAACAGAACTCTGGCTTCATGGCTGGTAAAAGTGATCCACAAGGCGTATGTCGTTCAAGTGAAGATGTTCAATGATTCTGCGCTGGGTTGTGAAATAAATTATTCTAAATGTAAGTGCTAGCGTTAAAATATGGAGGCTGCAGCAAAAAAATGACCCTTAGGTCAACGCACAGAAATTCAAATATGCAGCACCAACATCGGTTAACAAATGTGTCAATAATATAATTGACACATTTGTTAACCGATGTTGGCGCTGCATATTTGTATGTCGTTCAAGGCCTTCCAGCACCTCAAGAGGTTAGAGCACATTCTACCCGAGGTGTGGCTACTTCGTGGGCAGCATCTGCCAGTGTGTCAGCTGAAACGATTTGCAAGGCAGCTACCTGGTCCTCCCGAAGTACTTTCGTTCGGCATTACCGAATCGATCCTGCTGTTCTCACTACTGTAGCCTTTGGCCGGACGGTTATTTCCGCTGGCTCCTCTGCTTAGTTGTATTACTGATATTAAAATTTCCTTTTGCAGTATTCCACCCCTGTGTGATTTCTATATCCCATTGTGTGCTGCCATGATGTGCCAGGAAAACGGAAAATTGTATACTTACCTATCGGTAATTTTCCTTTCCTGGTGCATCATGGCAGCACACGGGACCCACCCTGCATGGCTCGTGATTTTGACGGGAATGGGGGTCCAAGCCACAGGGGTCAAAACTTATAGAGGGCTTGTCCTATGGGGTTAAGAGGCGGAGCGTTAACCTATTGTGTGCTGCCATGATGCACCAGGAAAGGAAAATTACAGATAGGTAAGTATACAATTTTCCATTTTCAGTACAGCGTTGCATGACGGAATAAACGTCAGTTGAAGTACCGCAGCGCTGAATACTGAAAAATGGCCTGGACAGGAAGGGGGTGTAAACACCCCGGTCAGCAAGTGGCTAAACATGCATAAGTGTGTTCTGAATGGCATTGGCAGCAATGGATAAGTGTGTTCTGAATGGCATTGGCAGCAATGGAAAGAAAGATTTCTGATGTTGTATTTATAGTGCCTGTGGTCAAGGAGACATTAACCACAATAATACAGGAGTCAAAAATACACATTTAATTTGCCCTGTGATTAAAAAAAAACCAATGAGTAAGCATTTTTGCCCTATGGAAAAGAGTAAAAACCAAACAGGTGCATGATATAATACAAAATAAGCAAACTCATTCCCCAGCATTTAATTATTTTTAAAGCTAAACTAATGAAAGGTATTTTTGTTAATGTGTTCCACTAAAATTAACTGAACTGTAGACAGACAGATAAAGCAAGACTGATTACGGTCCAAGTTTGCAATCAAATATTTTTGCAATGGAGATAATGTGCTCTTCACCAACTTCCCATCATTTATGGCTAAAGATCAACCTTCACTGAAGAGGAAGAAAAAGACCATTGGATTTCAAATTCTCTCCCAAGTGGCAGATCAAGTTGTTGTATTTTTAGGTACTGGGAAGAAAAAAAAAATACATTATACAGTTCATAATCAATTAAGAAACATCAAATGAAGGCCACATTAATCATTTCATGAGAACAAATACTTAGTCAGCATACATTAGGGATCCATTTACCAAAAAAAAAAAAGTTAAGGATCAAAAGTGAAGGTGTTGCCTATAGTAACCAAGCAGGTTTTATCTTTTAATTTTGTGAGGTGGCTACTAGAAATTTAGTGATTGCCAGTGCTGTAGTCAGCCTGGCTGGATTATAGTTGTCATTTATCTGGTTAATTTCAGGTGTCTGGCATTGACTGTACCTACCTGGGTGGAGTGTGACTCTGCTGTATTGTGGGACAGCCAATAAGAGACACTGAGAGTGTATGTACAGTACAGCAACCAATCACTGGGATTCTCTCAACCAGTGTTGCATGCTGGGATAGGGTACATATAATGGAGGGAATTGCAATGTGCTCAATCTAGTTCAGGACCAGCCATGGATTAGTCCAGGTTGGGGTGCTGTCCAGCCTGCCCCACAGGCTAGGCCTGGGGGTTGGCAGAGGCTGGAGTGCAGGAAGAGTTTCACTAGGCCTCAAGTATGGAGGAGGCCTGTGCTGTTGTCAGTGGAGGAGAACCAGGGAAGATGGAGGTGCCTGGAACCTAGAGGACCTCAGGAGCAAATCTGGTGTCTCTCCTGCTGAGGATCTGGTGTCTCTCCTGTTGAGCATTCCCTGCTCATCTGCTACTCAAATTACTATCCGCTGTACCACAAATGGATCTACTCTGAGATGCTAAAAAGGTACATGAGTCTGGAGTCTATGTCTGTACTACCTTGGATGTCTAGGACCCCTATACCCTCTGTCCCCAGTGTGAAGATGTTAACTCAGCATTGTACTACTGGAGTGGATATCAGCTTTGTGGGTGCGGTTAAATGCTATTGGGGCAGCTAAAGACCAAAGCCCCCAGACAACTAGTGATGACCTTGGTTATTCCAGCGGCTCCTTAGGGGGTGAACGCTACACATGTTAAATGTATTCCTTTATTTACTTGTAAGTTTGCTTATATTGCTGAGGAAAGCCTTGGCATGGTGTGAGTGCTGACAATTAAAATGTAAACATATTAAAAAATAAGTGGAGCTCATCCCCCATATAGCAGTGCAGGCAGAGAACTTTCATCAGTGTTGTATTAGCATCCCCAGATATCCAGGCGCCCACCCCACGGAGACATTGGGTGGATTTATTAATGGAAGAAACAATTCACAGTAAAGTGAATGCTCACTGAGCTTAGTGCATGCAGTCAAGCTGTGTTCATTTGGAATACTCCATCATGTGCAAGGGAAACAAGGTTTTAATTGCATATGATTGTAGTAAACAGTTTCACATTTACTAAACTTGATGAACATAAATTTTGCTAAATGAACAGATCTTACCATTGCTTAGACCCAAGCTGACATTAGGAACACAACAACAAAGAATATCAGTGACCTCCCCTCCTTCTCTGTTCAAAATGGCTGATTAGAGTAAGTCACAAATGGTAGAGCTACTGCTGTCCTCTCTTTTTAGAAAACCCACAATTCTCTGCAAAACCAGTGTCAAAGTTTAACATTGGGAAAAAGAAAATAGCACTGCGCTTCACAAACTCAAAAAATATATTCCTAAAATGTGAGAAAAATGTTATAAACTGTGAAATAGTCACAAAGTGATAAAACAAATTTGTGTTATCCACAACACCTGTATTGCGCAATGCCTGTGCTAATAATAGTTCAGAAAAAACTCTTGATCTAATGGTCTAGACCAGTGGTTCTCAACCTGTGTAACCTCAGGACCCACATTTGTCCTTGGCCATTAAGTCGCGACCCAAGTCGCACCGCATTGGAACGCACGGCATTGAGGTACCGCACGTTCCGATGCGGGCAATCAACTGTGTACAGGAGATGCGTTTGGGGTGCCGTTCAAATGAATGGCAATGCAACACAACCCCCACACCAGAATTTGCGGTAGGTGCGATTTTTGCGTGAAAATACTGTCAGATCGCAATGGCCTGTGCAATTAACGCTCTGTACTAGTGTGAACGGACCCTCAAAAATACTGTCAGACACACACAACCACAGACACAATCCCTCACACTCACATACACACTTCACAATAAAATACATTTGATTTCCTTTTTTTAAGATCCACCCAGTCTCCCTATCAGAACTGTGGTGGATCCTCAGCCTGAGGTCCAGTGGGGGCTGCAGTGCTGTGACAGAGCTCCATCCATATTGCCATGTTCTCAGGTCCCCCAAAAGAGCAGGGAGCCGCGACCCACTGCAGAAGGGCTCGCGACCCACTTTTGGGTCGCGACCCATGAGTTGAGAACCACTGTTTTAGAGTGTTATTTGATTCCTAGCGCAGTTTTTTTCTATGTAACAAAGTTTAACATTGTTTTGAATGGTCATTTGTAAAATAAAGATTTGATATAAATAATACAATTATATATTAAATTATCAGTTTGACACCCCTGAACGCAACCCACTTGGCTCCCTGCATTCAGGGTCCAGTGCGATCTGCAAAAATGCTGCATGCACTATTTTTGCCGATTGCACTCGACCAGAATGCAGGCACCAATATGCCACGCGTTCAGGTGATGGCACCACCATGCCCCCTGCCACCCCTGTACACAGAGAGCCGGACGGTTTGTGTTCCAGAGCCCGAACACTCTGGAACGCAATCTTTTTGGTGTGACCCGGCCCTAAACACATTTTTGGCTGCTATTGCGCTTATTCAGCTGACTCATCTTTCTGCTGGAAGTGATTTTACTGTAAAGGCTGTAAAGCCACTTGATCACTTCCATAAGCACTGGAATGTTTTTACTTTTCCTCGAGACAAAAACAGCTTTGACAGCGAAAAGATTACAGTTGTGTAGACTTGAAATATATATTTATAGCTTCCCTTTAAAAATGTTTGCTGACTCTGATTTATTACGACTCTCTGTACTTATCTTTTTTTACATTCCTCCAGCCCACACAATATTTTACTTGTATGGTTATAAATTAGGAATGCACCAATATTGATAGTAGTATCGGAATTGGTGACGATACAGAGTATTTTAATGAGTACTCGTACTTGCCCAAATGATACAATACCTTCTCCGATAACGGAACTTCCGGTCAGAGGAAGATTTCCTCTGACAGGCAGTGCCATAGGGGAACATGGAGCTGGCTTCCTGGGCAATCAGGAAGTCGGGCAGCGAGTAATGACCCGCTGCCCGGCTTCCGGATTGCCCGGGAAGCCGCCTCCATGCCAGCAGAATCACCGGTATTCGTACTCTGTATCTGCAAATATAGACAGCAAAAATATCGGTACTCGTACTGAAAAAACGGTATCGGTGAATCCCTAGTATCCCTAGTAGAATCCCTCTGTCAGAATAATGCTCTGGATTCAAACATTACCAGACTATATTTTAATGCTTGTATCTGTGGACTGCTTGCAAGGAAAAATCCAGAGTCCTACCTAATTTAGTTATTGATTTTGCATTACCCTGTTTAGTAGAGTGGGTACTAGGACCCCTTTCTCATACTTATGGTTAATTGGTTTTCCTGCTGCACAGCAATGCTTTAATACTTAATACTAGTTCAATGAGTTATCAAGTTGTATTACACAATAATGCACTTATTTTGTAAACAAAAAAACTACCCTTGCAGTGGGGCTGGAGTAAAGCAGATTTACTTACCTGATCCCCACTATTGCCAGCTCTCGCAGAGCTGCTAGACCGATCCCCACAGCCTCTTCTCCCCTGGGCTTCGGCGGTCTAAGGACTGCTGACATCATCACGACTAATTCCAGGTTCCATAGACCTGCATTAGACGTGATGACATAGAGGGACATTCCACCAGCCACAGCGGAGGGCGAGAAGAGGAGAGCACTGACTGCCAGGGAAGCAGGGTTTAGGTAAGTAAATCTGCTTAAATCCAACCCCTAGACAAAAATAATCACTTAACTCTTACAAAGCAGGGTAGCCCCACTGCAAGGTACTTTTTGGTTTGCCCACAGATTTCTCATTTTGGATAGAGTAGAGAATGGTGCAAACACTTAATCTGTTTACAATTTCCCTACACTCTTTGTCCTGTAGATAGAACAGGAAGTGAAAGGAAATCTCCAAAATGAGGGAATGCCCTCTTAGACATTTGTCACCAGAACACCTCCTCATTGGAAGATTTACCCACCATTCTGGTTCTGTTGGCAACTTAAAATATTAGGTTTTTTTTAAATTGCCAGATTAGTGCTTGTGATGGGTGTAATAGGCTCAAATAGGGAGAGTGTATCCCCCTAACAGGGACACAGACAGCAATGAAAACCAGACAGGGGTACTATCCCCCTCACCCTTCCATCCAAAACTAAAATAAATGTTTTATAAGCTTTAAAATAAGTACCTGTTCATTTTGTAAATACTGGTAATCTAGAGCGGGGGCACCATTAATCAGGATTTCTTTAGGAATATTTGCTATTCCAAACAGTCCCACTACTTTAAGCTTCAGGCTCTCTGCTTCTTTTTCTAATTTCACCACTTTACTGGCAAGGGTATTCTGTATAGAAAAGAAAGGTGTAAAGCCATGTTATATTGTTAAATCCCAACTGAGCATTTTTGTTTAAATCAACTAAATACATTCCAGGTATAAGAAAACCAAGGGTCTGCAAAATCAGTTTATTTTCTTTAGAAAGCAGCCACAGCCTGAGTAGAAAAGTCTGTCCCCTGCCAGCATCCAGTAAAGAAGGAACCTTTCTATGTGTGTGGAAACAGTGGTCTTTCTGCAGCGTTCTAACTTGTTCCCTGCGGTGTTGAACCCCCTTCCTGTCCAGGCCATTTTTCAGTGCTGCGGTACTTTGACTGAAGTTTATTCCGTCATGCAACGCTGTACTGAAATTAATTTTATACCATTTTTTGGGGACAGATAGAGCTTTCTTTTGGTGGTATTTAATCAAAACTGGGATTTTTATTTTTTACTATATTAAGGAAAAATTACAGAAATAAAAATAAATAAAACTTTCCCCTATATTAAATTATAAAACATTATTACCCAATTTTTTGGTAAAATATAAAAGACAGGGTCACGTCGGGTAAAAAGACACCATACATGTCAAGCCTTAAAACTGCGCGCGCGAAACCTCAAAAACTACAATACCCAAAATTGGCCATAGGTGACGTTTTAAAAGCTTTTACCGCTCATCAGCTTAGTGTTATCATTGATTGATGGCCCTAAAATGATTGCTCTCACTGCGACATTTGCAGCGATATGTAACATGTGTAGCGCAATTGTCATTTTCACGCGTTGGTGCATCTGACGCGTATTTATGTGCAGATGTGTGTAAACGTGGGGGTGGGTGTCACCTAGGGACCCCCAAAGAAGCTGATGAAGCAGAGATCTGCTTCATCAGCTTCTTCTCTCTGGCTATAGCAGCCAGAGGACTGACAGGTGAATGCGGAAGTGATGTGTCACACATCACTTCCGCATTCACAGCACGGAGGGAGTTCAGCAAGGAAGAAGATGCTGATCGCCCTCCCATCTTACCTCCTGACACCCTCCCGAGCCAGTCCTAGGCCGCAGATGGGGTAGTGGATCCCAAGATTGAAGGTGAGGGTGCAGGAGGGGGGCGGCGGCACTCGAGGGGGGCACGCAGCCAGCACATACAAACGGCTATAGAGCATCGGACGGGTTTTTTCTGCACGCGTGCGAGCAGAAAAAAAATGCCCTCCTAATTACGGCACCCTGTTTTTTTGCAACGGGCGGAGGCCAAGCGGTTAAGCTGGCCATACACTATGCGAATTTCAGCTGGTTCCTCATGAATTGGATGAAATTCACACAGTGGGTGCTCCTGTTGGCACCCCGCCACTTGACATCCTTGAACTGGAAAATTGAAGGAGCCAGATGGAAAATCTTTGGCTGAACAGTGCTTGCAGCCAATCAGCTGAAAAGGCCTCACAAATGGAGCATCTGGCTGAAGGCCTAGTAGAAAATTAGTATCTCCCTTATGTATTCTAACTCGCCCTAGCAACAGGAAAGAGAGCCTGATTGGTTGTCAGTAAGGAATTTAAAACTGGTGTTTGGTAGGACACTTCATAAATAAGGCTTGTAGTGAGGTGCTTGAATCAAAGTCATGCATGCAGCCTTTTATTTTTATGTTTATGACCAGTTTTGCACAGCTTTTTAATATCAGAGATCACTAAGGCCACTTACATTGTATCTGAGCTATAATTAAAAAATTAGACTTACATCTTGAGCTGAAAATGTAATCAGGCTGTAGTCTCCCCTCTCATATGTGTCCAGGCTATCTCCATCATCCCAATATAGTTCTCCACGAGCTGCTCCATCCTTTGTAAGTGCTACCATCAGTATCAAACCATTTCTGCGCATCTCTGTTGTAGTCATAGCTGGTTCCTAGCAGAGCAAATAGAAAGAAAAAAATATGCTTTGTTAGACTAATGTGTATGTAATATCATTATTTCTTGAGACAAAATAAATTATAGTGAGCCCCATGAAATCTGATGAGTTTCATAATGGCTGCGAGAGCATAATGTATGTCTGGTATGTTCATGCTGATGATCGCTGCAACCAGTTAGTATTTGTGGCCTCATAAGCATAAGGCATACAACTTAGGAACTTCCCTTCTTGTGTTGCATCAAATGGATGTGGAGGACACAGGGGTTATACAAGGAAGTGTATCTTGCACCCAGATTGTGGGATTGGTGCAGATAAAAGGTTCCAAAGGGAGACAGTTGGATTGACAAGAAAGTAGAGTCCTGTATCTGTTTTATGTGGTAATAATGACAGTATAAGCCGTTAGTGTACAGAAGTCATGTTCTTAGAAGAGAACCCACAGAACAGGAACAGGAAACGCATCACAGGAAACAAGTGCCACAGAGATGAATCATAGAGTTGCATATAAACTAAACATAACACTCATAACAGTATCTTTATCCACATTTTGCAACCTAGTGCTTGAATATAGAACAGAACATGTTGGGGGGTGTCTCTAAGATTGGAAATTGCCTGAATTGTTTTGTTTGATCTACCCCAGTGAGACAACAATGGAGGGCTGGTGTGTAAAACATTCACCCAGCTTACAGGGCCGGCCATTGGGGTGTGTGAGCTGTGCATCCACACAGGGTGCCATGACAACAAGGGTGTCAGGCGGCCTACACAGCTCACTATGACACAAGCTGCAGGGGGCTTGATTCCACCACCACGCCACAGAGGCCATGGCCTCGGGGTGGCAGGGAGTAGAGGGGCGGCACAGCCTGCAGCTTCTCCTCGGATCACCACTGCTCTCCCCCACCTGTATGGACAGAGGAAGCGGGGATCCGATGAAAAATAGAGCACTGCAGCCGGCAGGGGGAGGGGGAGGGGGGGGGAGAGGGAGCGCTGTCATCAGGATGGACGAGCGGGGAGAAGATTGCAAAGCCGCCAGCTGTAAAATCCAGGATGGCTGAGCAGCTCCAGTCATTTTTAGGATGGCCGAGCGGAGATTGGTATATATGTGTAATATTTACCAATCCTCTGTGTGCATCACAAACACTGGAGTGATTGCTGATCACTCCAATGTTTATAAACAACTGGGGACACATAGTATGTGACACATACGGACTATACATATGATGTTGGAACTTCTTTCACAGCCTCACAGAGAACACAAGTACACAGTCTGATATGCATGCTGCAGATAGCTTGAAAACAGGAAGGAAGCCACAGCTTTATTCTCTACCTTTTCGACAGAGTATACCATAGATATAACAGAACTTATAAACACTGCCATCTAGTGACCGAAATTGTATACTGCAGTAGTTGATGCAATAGTCACAATGTGTATTCTAACATCCCCACTCAATAACTACTCCAAATGTCAATCCCATTCTGAATCTTAATTCTATAAACCTGTTTCTTGTAATCGGCTTTGTAAAAACATCGGCAATCATGTTATCAGTCTCACAATACGTAAGCTCAATCACTTTGTATTCAACTAAGTCATGAATGTAATGATGTCTGACATCAAAATGCTTGGTTCTTGTGTTGATCTTCTCACTGGTAGCAAGTTTAATGCACCCTTGATTGTCCTCATATAGGACTGTAGGTTGGGACATTGGTTCTCCAAAATCTTCAAACAATTGATGTAACCACACAACTTCTTGACTGGCATAGGCAGCAGCAATGTATTCTGCCTCTGTAGAAGACAAAGATTTGCTTCTTGCTGGACCTAGATATGGGACTATATTCCTAATTTGAACAGATAACCACTTGTAGATTTGCGAGTATTTGGGTCACCTGCCCAATCAGCATCCGCATATCCTATGAGGTTCAATTCACCATTTGCAGACAGCTTCAGATTCAGGTCTTTTGTTTGTTTCAGATATCTCATGACTAGTTTGATTGATGTCCAGTCACTTTGATGTGGGTCACTCACACGTCTACAAAGAAGGGATATGGCTGCTGCAATATCTGGACGTGTAGTGGTTGCAATATATAGCAATGCCCCCACTGCTTGTCTGAACGGTTTATTAGTAGGGAGAAGATCCCCATCCCCATTCATCTTTAGATATGCTATGTCCATGGGAGTGCTCGCTCCTTTGGCTTCAGTCATGCCCAACTGCTGGAGCATTGCCTCAATTTTAGATTTCTTTTTTTTTTTTTTTTAAAGTTCTGTTTATTTAGTTTTGCATAGAATACACGTTAACAGTTCCTCCTACAGCAGTAGGGGTACATACTTAGTTACAACCTTCATAACATACATAACTCCGCCTGCACCTTCTTAATAATACAACCCCCATCCCACCCCAAAAAAAACCCGAAAACCGCATGCCATATCGAGCCCCTGGAAGTCATCCACATAGAGTAATATGTACATGTACTCAGAATCTACACATCTTGAATAAAGACATGGATCAGCTTTGCTTCGTATGAATCCTTCATTTAGCAAGACTTTGTTTAGTTTTAGATTCCATGCTCGAGCCGATTGCTTGAGACCATAGAGGGATTTCTGCAACTTGCACACAAGATGCTCTTCTCCATTTTTTTATATATCCTTTTGGCTGTGTCATATACTGTATATTTGTTCTTTGATATCACCATTGAGAAAGGCTGTTGTGACATCATGGTGCTTGACGACCATTTTCCTAGAACTCGCCACTGTCAATAGTGTTCTGAAAGTACTTTGTTTTGCAACTGGAGCAAAAGTAGCATCATAATCCTCACCATATTTTTGTGAATACCCTTTTGCCACTAACTGTGCCTTGTACTTACAGATCTTGCCTTCAGAGTTGCATTTGGCTTTAAAAACCCATTTCCATCCGATTGCACGCTTATCATGATGTAGCTCTGAAAGTGTCCATGTCTGCAGTTCATTAAGAGATGTCATCTCTTCATCAGCAGCTCTGATCCACTTTTATTTCTCATGGGTTGGAAGTCTTTGCATCTCATCCCATGAATCTGGCTCTGGCTTTAATGCTTCACAAGCAACATAAGATAGACGCTTTGCTGGGAAGCCTTTGTTGCTTCTTATGGACTTTCTGACTGAAGACCCTTGTGGCATGGCTTCTTCTTTTTCAGAATTTTTATTGTCTATGTTAAATTTCTATTTCTGTGTCACTCTGTCCCTTGTCTTTGTGTGACATTGATGTCGGTTTTCCCTCAGTTTCAGGCGTTTGTGTCAGTACATGAAATTTTGAACACACTGAGGTTTCATCAACAATAACACTTCTGCTAACAGTTACCTTGTTTGTGTCTTGGTGCAGGATTCTGTATCCCTTTTGAGATTCACTGTATCCCACAAGTACACCATCTTTTGCTAAAGCATTCCATTTTGTACGTTTTTCCTGTGGGATGTGCACACAAGCTTTGCTTCCAATTTTTCAATATTCAATATTTCGAATTACGAGACTGCTTGTGTTGTTTAAATGGAATTCAGGTTATGTGCTGTTTGCTTGTAACTTTGATATTAAACACCAAAACGCAAGTAAATACCAAAACTGAAACATTTTAGAAGAAGAATGTAAATATGTCACAGGCCTTGGCAATTCATATCAGGAATTGGTTGCATGCATAACCATGTCACAAAGGTCATCAGATTTTAAAATATACCTAGCTGAATTGTCCAAATGCTCTTTTCCTCTCAGGACCCAGAAGAGGGGACTGGCTAGTGTGGGTCAGTGGCGT